GGAAGGAAGGGGAAGGGAAGCTACACTCCATTAACAGCCCAGTACTCCTTGAAGTGGTTTGTTCCCACTGCAAGAGGCTCCCGCCAGTTGCCCTTCGTACAGCGAAGGGATGGCTTGTTGACGAGTGAGCCACTCTCCTGGGCTGCCCAGGGCGGCCTCAGAGCCAAAGGCAGCTGCCCTCGCTGGCGGTCAGCCAGGTGACCAGTCTTCAAAGGACCCAGAAAGCAAGCGGAGGCTGAAGAACAGGCCGGATCCTGTCTGCCCCGCTTGGGCTGAAGGCACCTGGTGTTGAAAGTGAACACAGGCTGGGCCTGGAAGTGAAAAGGTGGGAGACCCCAGGGGCAAAGGAGCATTTGGGGAAAGCCTGCGCTTGCCAATCCCATCATTTGCTGACTCAAAGCTGTACAGAGGTCAACAGGAGGAGGAGGAGAGGAGCCGGCTTGAGCCGGTTGCTGAGTGTTGTCAGCTGCCCCTTCGGCTCTTGCCCCGGATGACAGCATGGAAAGGGAACAGGATGCCTCTTTACCTGTCCTTTAGGAAACCTAAGAGCAGAGGGAATCCAAGTTCACTCTGCTCACTAAACTGAAGGCTGGCGAGAGCTGCACATGTTGGCTTTCTAACCCATTCTTTTCAGCGTAGGGCAAGTGGCCGTATTTGGAAAACACTACTAGAATCATAGAGTTGGAAGACAACCCAATGGCCATCCAATCCAACCCCATTCCACTATTCAGGAACACCAATCCAAACCTTCCTGACAGATGGCCATCCAACCTCTGTTAAAACAAAACCTCCAGAGAAGGAGACCCCACTCTCAAAGTTTGTACCAACAGAACATTCTTACTAATGGGTTGTTGTACATTTTTTCGGGCTATATGGCCATGTTCTAGAGCAGTGGTTCTCAACCTGGGGTCCCCAGATGTTTTTGGCCTACAACCCCCAGAAATCCCAGCCAGTTTACCAGCTGTTAGGATTTCTGAGAGTTGAAGGCCAAAAACATCTGGGGACCCCAGGTTGAGAACCACTGTTCTAGAGGCACATATAGCCTGAAAAAACCTACAACAACCCATGATTCCAGCCATGAAAGCCTTCGACAATACATTGAATGTTCTTACTAATGTTTAGGTAGAACCTCTTTTCCTGCTATTTGAATCCATTATGTCCTGGTTCCTGGAGCAGCAGAAAGTAAGTTGACCATCCTTAATGGGACATCCTTTCATATCAGGGCTATCATGTCCCTTCTCCGGTCTTAACATACCTACTCTCTATTGTCAAAGGCTTTCATGGCCGGAATCACTGGGTTGTTGTAAGTTTTTAGGGCTGTATGGCGATGTTCCAGAAGCATTCTCTTCTGACGTTTCGTCCACATCTATGGCAGGCATCCTCAGAGGTTGTGAGGTCTGTTGGAAACTAGGAAAATGGGGCTTATACACCTGTGGAATAATGTCCAGGATGGGAGAAAGAACTCTTGTCTGTTGGAGCTAGGTGTGAATAATTCAATTGTCCACCTTGATTAGCATTTGATGGCCTGACAGTTTTAAAGTGTGGCTTGTTAGTGCCTGTGGGAATCCTTTGTTGAGAGGTGATTAGCTGTCCCTGATTGTTTCTTCTCTGGAGTTGAGAAGTTCATGGTTTCCTCAGAAAGGAGGAAACCATGAAAATGAACACAGTATTTAAAAAAACCCTCTAAAATTATAATATAAAATTATAACAGTAAATAAAGAACAAAACTCAAACACAGGGGAACTCCAGACAAGGAACAATCAGAGACAGCTAATCACCTCTCAACAAAGAGTTCCCCCAGGCAGTAACAAGCCACACCTAAAAACTGCCTGCCATCAAATGCTAACCAAGGTGGCTAGTGGAAACATTCACACCTAGCTCCAACAGACATGAGTTCTTTCTCCAATCCTGGACCTTCCACAGATTTAGGTAAAGGTAGTCCCCTGACATTAAGTCCAGCCGTGTTCGACTCTGAGGTGTGGTGCTCATCTCCATTTCTAAGCCAAAGAGCCAGTGTTGTCCGTAGACATCTCCAAGGTCATGTGGCTGGCATGACTGCATGGAACGCCGTTACCTTCCTGCTGGAGCGGTACCTATTGATCTACTCACATTTGCATGTTTTCGAACTGCTAGGTTATTTATTTATTTATTTATTATTTAGAGCTTTTATAACCCGGTCTTCTTAACCTCCGAAGAGGGACTCAGGCCGGCTAACAACAGGAAATTCATACACAAATGAGCTAAAACATATTAATATCATAATACGTTAATACATTAAAACACATTAAAATACAGATTAAATAATTACATAAATCACAAATTCATCACTATCCGTCAGTGTGGTCAGCAGTTATTGATTCGATCATCATTCTGAGAATGCTATGTTCCAGAGCCAAGATTTTACCAGCTTTCTGAAAGTCAGGAGGGAAGGGGCAGATCTAATCTCCATCGGGAGACAGTTCCAGAGCTGAGGGGCTACCACCGAGAAGGCCCTGTTCCTCGCCCCCACCAGACGCGATTGCGAAGGTGGTGGGACCGAGAGCAGGGCCCCTCCAGAAGATCTTAACAACCTTGATGATTCATAGGGGAGAATCCGTTCGGAAAGGTAAACTGGGCCGGAGTCGTTTAGGGATTTATAGGTCAACACCAGCACTTTGAATTGTGCTCGGAAGCTAATTGGCAGGCAGTGGAGCTGGCGCAACAGAGGAGTAGTATGCTCCCTGTACCCCGCTCCTGTTAGTAATCTGGCTGCCACTCGTTGGACTAGTTGAAGCTTCCGGGCAGTCTTCAGAGGCAACCCCACGTAGAAAGTGTTGCAGTAGTCTATACAGGATGTAACCAGAGTGTGGACCACCGTGGCCAAGTCAGACTTCCCAAGGTACGGGCGCAGCTGGCTCACAAGTTTTAATTGTGCAAATGCTCCCCTGACCACCGCCGAGACCTGGGGTTTCAGGCTCAGCGATGAGTCCAGGTTGGCAGAAGCTGGGGCTGACAGCGGAAGCTCACGCTGCTCCACGGAATCGAACCTGTGACCTTTCAGTCAACAAGCTCAGCAGCTCAGCGCTTTAACCCACTGCACCACTGGGCACTCCTCCACAGATAGAGAAACTCAATTTTCCTAGTTTCCAACAAACCTCCCAACGTCTGAGGATGCCTGCCATAGATGCAGGCGAAACAATAGGAGAGAATGCTTCTAGAACATGGCCATACAGCGTGAAAAACCTACAACAACCCATACCTACTTTGGGTTGTTGTAGGTTTTTTCGGGCTGTATGTCCATGGTCTAGAGGCATTCTCTCCTGACGTTTTGCCTGCATCTATGGCAAGCATCCTGAGGATGCTTGCCATAGATGCAGGCGAAACGTCAGGAGAGAATGCCTCTAGACCATGGCCGTAGAGCCAAAAAAACCTACAACAACTCAGTGATTCCGGCCATGAAAGCCTTCGATAATACATCATACCTACTTTGTTTATGCAAAGGAAGAGGTTTTCCAAAAGGACAATTGCACTGCTGTACCATTTGTGCAAATCTTTGGGTCCTGCATCAAATTCAATGTTGTGTTATTCTCTTTCAGCCTGGAACCAGTGGCAGTTGTGGCGGAGGGGATGCTGCTGCTGCTCCGGGAACCACTTCCGGAAGGCAGAGCCGCCAGAAGCTGAGCCTGATGCCGGCCGAGCTGCCAGAAGAGGAGACGAAAAGGATAGCGAGAATATTTTCCATGCAGTTCTCCAAAAGGACATAGCAGCCGGCGGAGAGAGACCCACGCTGTGGAACCTTCAGCAGAGTCACCATCTGGGGCTGGATGCAAAGGCAGATTGGTTTGAGTTGTGGTTGGGAGCCCAGTGCTTGCAAAAGTGGTGCTTGCATCCGCCTAGGAGCCCTCCATTGGTGATTCTTCCATCTCAAAGAGATGCCGTCATTCACTATGTAAGGAAGAGGGATTCTTTTCTCGCATTGGCGAGGTCTGTCTGTCCTTTCTAGACAGGGACTCTGGATTAGTCAGATGCAAACTGGGTAAATCGGTCAAAGGGACCTGGCTTGAGTTTTGCTCTGGACTCAATGCAATACACCTTCTTCCGGTCAGGTTTCGCTCCCCGTTGGTGGCATTATTTCCACTTCATAGACCAATTCTGTGCCTTACTCTATCCATAACACATTTCCAAGTATCCTTAAAGGCATTGTCAAAGGCTTTCATGGCCAGACTCACTGGGTTGTTGTAGGTTTTTTCGGGCTGTATGGCCATGTTCTAAAGGCATTTTCTCCTGACGTTTCGCCTGCATCTATGGCAAGCATCCTCAGAGGTAGTGAGGTCTGTTGGAACTAGGAAAAAGGGTTTATATATCTGTGGAATGACCAGGGACAAAGGACTCTTGTCTGTTGGACACTCTCACAAACTGACCACCTTGATTAGTATTTGATGGCCTGGCAGTTTTTTGGTGTGGCTAGTTAGTGCCTGGGGGAATCTTTTGTTGAGAGGTGATTAGCTGTCCCTGATTGTTTCCTCTCTGGAGTTTCCCTGTGTTTGAGTGTTTTATTGTTATAATTTTAGAGTTTTTTTTAATACTGGTAGCCAGATATTGTTCATTTTCATGGTTTCTAAGATCTACAGAGACACTAGCTGGAATACCTCAGCAAGCAAGAGTCCAAAAGTGGCAGTCTGACACATGGTGATCGTTACATGGAACACAGAAATGCTGGACCACACTAACAACCACCATGTCACAGTACACAGAGAAGCCACTGAAATCCACAACCATGTGGACAATTACAACAGAAAGGAGGAAACCATGAAAATGAACAAAATCTGGCTACCAGCATTAAAAAAAACTCTAAAATTACAACAGAGAGGAAACCATCAAGGACATCTAATCACCTCTCAACAAAAGATTGCCCCAGCAACTGCCAGGTCATCAAATGCTAATCAAGGTGGTCAGTGGAAACATTCACACCTAGCTCCAGCAGACAAGAGTCCTTTGTCCCACCCTGGACATTCCACAGATATATAAACCCAATTTCCTATTTCCAACAGACCTCGCTACCTCTGAGGATGCTTGCCATAGATGCAGGCGAAACGTCAGGAGAGAATGCCTCTAGAACATGGCCATATAGCCCTAAAATCCTACAACAATCCTTAAAGGCCTTGGCCCACTTGGGAGGAGCCTTCCAGTCCTTGTTTAACCAGTTTCCCATTGTGGAAAACAGAAGTTCATACTATGCTTCCGTTATGACATGAGCACCAATGCAACTGAAATGCAGCATCTTCCAAACGCCCATTTCCTTTGATCCCATCTCTAATCTGCAGCCCTACAACTCCCATAATCCCTCACTATTGTGTTTGCCGACTGGTGGGAATCATAAACCAAAAACATCTGGAAAGTCAGTCACACAGATGTCACTATATACACCCAGCATGGGAACTGTGTGGCCTTCCAATGTGGGATATTACTCCCAGCATTCCTCACCACTGACTGCGGTTGATGGGAGTTGCAGTTCAACATTTCCTATATTGACCTATATTGTTGTGTGTGTTCTTGACACCAATTTGGCTTTCTTCTTCCCACCTCTCAAATAAATCATGCCAGCTTGTACATAAAATCTTGCCTCTCTCGAAGGAAATGGCATAACAACAGTGTTGCTCTTGCTCTTGTTACACGTGCAGTGTTGTGTTGTGTGTGCAGGATTGTGTTGTGTAACAATCCGGAGTGAAGCTGGAGGTGATGAGCGGGAATCGGCTTTGCATTTCTTCCTTCCTCAAGATAACCATCTTCTCCTTAAACACAGGACTCTTGTTTATTTGGACAACCTGCAAAATGTCGATGTGAAGCTTTAGATTAAAGCTGTGCAGGAATACTAATGAGTACAACCTTTTGCACAGAATGGGCTGCCCTATAATCACTACTCACATTCAACTGTGAATATCTTCTTTTTATTTTTTGTTTAAGGTATGTAACTTTGTGAATATAAATTATTCCACTTTAAGACCCGTTTTTAAAGACACATCAAGCCTTGAAAAGGGTTGTTTACAAATGGAACTGTATTGATATATTTATAAGTATTTTTTTACCATCGTGATTCACTTTTTTTTACAATAAAAATGCATGTATATTTTTATGATTTTGCATTTCTCATAATATCTCATGGAGGGTGTGTGGCTCGAGAGCAATACGTGTGAAAAAGATCTTGGAGTCCTCGTGGACAACAAGTTAAACATGAGCCAATAATGTGATGTGGTGGCAAAAAAAACCAATGGGATAGCATAGTGTCTAGATCCAGAGAAGTCATGCTCCCCATGCTCTGTTCTGCCTTGGTTACTTACTTAGGCGATCCCTCATTGTCCGAGTAGGATAATCTTCCAGGGTGGGTCCGTAGGTGACCGTGGAGCCCTGTTCTTGATCCGCATCTTCTCCCGCAGTGAAGGCATCGGTTTCCAGGTGGAAGGCGGTCCCATTCAGGGTTGGCTTGACGCACCTTCCTCTTGGCACATTTCTCTCTTTCACCCTCCATTCGTGCCTCCTCAAATTCTGCAGCACTGCTGGTCACAGCTGACCTCCAGCTGGAGCGCTCAAGGGCCAGGGCTTCCCAGTTCTCAGTGTCTATGCCAAAGTTTTTAAGGTTGGCTTTGAGCCCGTCTTTAAATCTTTTTTCCTGCCCACCCACATTCCGTTTTCCGTTCTTGAGTTCGGAGTAGAGCAACTGCTTTGGGAGAAGGTGATCGGGCATCTGGACAACGTGGCCGGTCCAGCAGAGTTGAAGGCAGAGGACCATCGCTTCAGTGCTGGTGGTCCTTGCTTCTTCCAGCATGCTGTCTGCTTGTCTTCCCAAGAGATTTGCAGGATTTTCTGGAGGCAGCGCTGACCCTTGGTTAAACCACACCTGGAATACTGTGTCCAATTCTGGGCACCACAAGTGAAGGGAGAGGTTGACTTTAAGCTGGAGGGCGACACAAAGGATAAAGGGTCTGGAAAACAAGCCCTATGAGAAGCGGCTTAAAGAGCTGGGCATGTTTAGCCTGAAGAAGAGAAGGCTGAGAGGAGACATGATAGCCTTTTATAAATACATGAGAGGAAGCCACAGGGAGGAGGGAGCAAGCTTGTTTTCTGCTGCCCTGCAGACTAGGACACAAAACAATGTCTTCAAACTACAAGAAAGGAGATTCCATCTGAACATGAGCAAGAACTTCCTGACTGTGAGAGCTGTTCAGCAGTGGAACTCTCTGCCCTGGAGTGTGGTGGAGGCTCCTTCTTTGGAAACTTTTAAACAGAGGCTGGATGGCCATCTGTCAGGGATGCTTTGAATGCAATATTCCTGCTTCTTGGCAGAATGGGGTTGGACTGGATGGCCCATGAGGGCTCTTCCAACTCTACGATTCTATGAGACCCCAAAAAGGAAGAGGTGCAAAGCCCTTGGAAGCATGAAAGGCTGCCTTTCTCCCTGGACGGATGCCCACCTGAGTCCAGCAAAACAATTCCCTTTTGTTCCTCTTTTGCCACACTGTGCTCCTTGACCTAGAAAAGGGCAGAGCTCTGTGAAGAATTGGTACATTCTCTCAACACGACTTAATTTTCCAAATCGCTGAGTGCTGACATTGTGGGTCCTCCGCAAGGTCTTGTGTAAGTCTGAAATCAAGACCTGCAGATGCTCAACAATGGCTGTGGCGCTTGGCAATGTTTTCCTTGCCATCCTTGGCCTCTTTTTCTCCCTTCCCAGTTGCAAACGCATTGTCCGAGTCCCTCGGCTCCAACAATGGGGCAGTCTTTGAATCTGCTGCTTCATCTGACCCGCAACTGGGTTTTGGCACCCATCCTATCAGAGAGCTCGGAGTCCCATAAACAAGCAACATGCTGCCTCTGAACTGGACGTCCTGGCAACCCAAGAAGGGTCCCTCGGTTCAACCCCTTCCCAGGCTTTCCATTACAAAATCACGATCCAAAGAACAACCTTGCAACACTGTGAAGGGGATGGAAAAAGCCAGATAAGCTTGTTTCCAGGGAGAATGCCAGCTGTGATGTATTTTGCAGCCCTTCGTTTTCCTTCTCATCCATTGTTTATCATCAGCAGCTGCAATTTTGCAAAAATATTTGCATTTCCTGGGGCAGAGATGTACCTTTTTACAAACTGCAGGGTCTATCATGGAGTGGATATAAATCAGCATATATTTGCAGGAGTTATGGGAGCTGTAGTCCAACATGTCAGGAAGATAAGAACAGACTAGAGAAATGAGCTGGGAGTTGTAGTCCGAAAAGGAAAGATTGCTGAGGCCTTTGCAATGGCTTGGAGGTGCCTTCTAGCAAAAGGAATCAAAAGGATTTTTGCCTAGGCACTGGGATATTTGGATGTGGCTGGTTTGAGGGAGATGGGAGTTGTAGTCCAAAATGTAAAGTTAACCCATGGTCTAGCAAGACAGATAAAGCTAATTTTCTCTAAAGCAGACACTTTAGAGAAAATCAAAAAATGCAAACTAAATGTACTTTGAGTGCATCTGCTTGTAATGTCTTTGCAACAGAATTTCTCAACCTGGGGGTCAGGACCCTGAGGGGTCACGAGGGGGTGTCAGAGGGGTCACCAAAGACCATCAGAAAATACAGTGTTTTCTGTTGGTCATGGGCATTCTAGCAATTCTATTGCTGGTGGGGTTCAGAGTGCTCTCTGATTGTAGGTGAACTATAAATCCCAGCAACTATAACTCCCAAATGTCAAGGTCTATTTTCCCCAAATTCCACCAGTATTCGCATTTGGACATAGTGAGTATGTGTGCCAGATCCATCATTGTTTGAGTCCACAGCGCTCTCTGGATGTAGGTGAACTACAACTCCAGAACTCAAGGTCAATGCCCACCAAACCCTTCTAGTATTTTCCGTTGGTCATGGGAGTTCTGTGTGCCAAGATTGGTTCAATTCCATTGTTGGTGGACTTCAGGTATGCTCTTTCATTGTAGGTGAACTATAAATCCCAACAACTACAACTCCCAAATGTCAAGGTCCCCAAACTCCACCAGTGTTTGCATTTGGACATAGTGAGTATATGTGCCAGATCCATCATTGTCTGAGTTCACAATCCTCTCTGGATGTAAGTGAACTACAACTCCAAAACTCAAGGTCAATGCCCACCAGACCCTTCCAGTATTTTCTGTTGGTCATGGGAGTCCTGTGTGCCAAGGTTGGTTCAATTCCATTGTTGGTGGACTTCAGCTATGCTCTCTGATTGGAGGTGAACTATAAATCCCAACAACTACAACTCCCAAATGACAAAATCAATTCCCCCCACTCCACCAGTATTCAAATTTGGGTGTATAGGGTATTTGTGCCAAATGTGGTCCAGTGAAGTGGGTCAGAAGGGTGG